CCCGGTACACCTCTTCTATTTCACCTGCCACCTACTTCTGCTTTCTTAAACTCTAACCTGTTTTCTAAGTGTCTAGCATATAAAAAGGTTCAATAAAGGTTTGCTGAATTAATGAGTGATTGAATGACAGCTGATCGTGAAAGATTTTATAAGACGGGAAACGAAAGGCAGGCAGCCCCAAAACAAGACAACACTGCTTCGCAATGGCTGACGGCAAGGGTATGCGCTAGGAATCCCCCCAAAAGGCTCTCCTCGCAAGCTGGGACGCCAAATAGTGTGACAGCCGAGGTCATCAGAATGAGCGGTGCTTCTGTGCACAAGCGTCATGAGACCCCTATGGGAATCCCCCTCATCTGCAGTGCCTCATAAAGAGAAAAATGTAAATAAGAGAATCTTTTAACCTGCCACTGCTCTGCTGCATTAAGCTCTTTTAAATCTCTTAATAATTATAGTCAGAACAAAGAGAGGAAGACAGAACTCATTAACAATGAGCCTGGTGACAGGATAGGCAGCGGTGGCACGCCTTGCATCACGCACAGGGCACACACAAACCCTCTTCACTGGCACTGCAGAAGATGCTAATTACTTCCCTGGCAAGAGGGGTGTGGCCCCTAGAAATAACCACTGGAGGGAGCCACACGGCAGGCCCCCCCGCAACATGTTCCCACCATCCTCTTTCACCTTGGAGATTCCAGGGCATGACATCAACAGGAAAGGAAAAAGCCTCTCCAAAACATGGCTGGTGGGTTTAAGCCCCATGAGAGAGAATTTTTTTTAAAAAAGAAATTTTTTTTTTTTTTTTTTGGTGCTGGGGATTGAACCCAGAGGCACCTCTGAATATCCCCTGTTCCTTTTTGAGTCAGCTGAGACTGACCTTGAACTTGCAATCCTCCTGCCTGCCTCCTAAGCTGCTGGATCAGAAGTGTATTCCACCACATATGGCTCATCTTTAAACATTTCACTAAAGGTTTTTTTTAGCCCACATGACTAGCTGGTCTGTTTCCAAATCCATGCTAATCCCACTAGTAATGGTCCAGGCGCCTATTTGCAAGACACACACTGGGGCCTCTAGGAGACAGGGACTGGGCTCTATGATCTCCCAGGAACAGCAAACAACAAGGCTTCAAGAATTCCACTTCCTGCCTCCCCCAGCCCACTTACTCCCCAATACTGCAAACTAGCACAGAGACCAATAAAAACTAATCACCAGGGACTGGAGGAAGAATGATGAGTGATCCACGGCCACAAACATCACTACCAGGTCTTTGATTGGATTCCTTCATTATTTCTGCACCCTGATTTTTTCCCCTATAAATAATAATGAGCTTATTAAAGACTGCCATGTGCCCACTGTCACCTGAGGGTGATGGACTCCCGTGCTCGATGTGAGGTCTGAGGCTGACAAGCTCTGTTTGGTTTAGAATGCAGGTTTCGAATGTTCGTCCAATTCCTGTTAACATGACCTGAAAGGCTTCAAAGCAGCCAAAGATTCAACTGAGTATATGCATCATCAGCTGTTGCTATCAAATTAGGAAACATTCACAAATGGAACAAGGTTCAACTACTAAAATATGACAGGCAGGCAGGGATGTGATCCTACAACAAAAACCACAATCCAGCACCTTTTCAGGAATTTTATGCCTCAAGTATGCGAACAGAGCTGGGCTTGGGAAGATGTGCGCAAAGGTGACAGTGAGTGATGGTCATCTGTGCCAACCCAAGACAAGTTGTTTTGAGTTTACCCTCCTGCCTACTCTTCTGTTGCTATTCCTAAGAGGAACTAGAAATACTTTTATGACACAAAAGTTAGATACTTTTTAAAATTAAAACTGAAATTATTAATAGTAGTACATTATAGGGATCATCAACATAACCCCTCTAATTCAAAATGAATTTTAATAAGGTCAAGTAATTACATATTAAAATATACCATATAATTCGCCCGATTTCCAGAGCCATAAAAGTATCACACACTGTGCCTATCATTTGTGGTTTGTTCAGCCAGATCTGGTAAACATACCTCATCTTAAAAAAACAAACATTTGTTTTGGTACAGGAGATGAAACGCAGGGGCGCTCAAACACTGAGCCTTTTGAGACAGGTGTCATTAGGGTCTCTTTGAGCCTAGTCTTGAACTTGCAATCCTCCTCCCTCAGCCTTCCAAGTCCCTGGGATTACAGGTGTGCGCCACCATGCACGGCTCCAAAACATGTTATTTTAAAACCAGAATGACTCATTTTTAATACCTTAGATATAAAAACTATAGGAGAAAAAAAGTAAGAGTGCAATGAGTATTTATTTTACACCAGCTTTAAAAAAAAAAAAATTTTGTTGCCCGATTCAAAATGAAGGAATAAATTTCCAAGACTCAGAACATTTTTTCAAAATTGGTTTACATATCTCTTAAGATTCTTATCTAGACCTTTACTGCACTTGATATCTTAAAGAGGTAAATTGTGTTGATAATTCTTTGTGTAAGAGAG